GCCGCGGCAGCCACCGCCTGACGAGCTGCTTCCTGGAGGCGAGCGGCCTCCACTGTTCTCTCATACTCGTTGGCCTCCTCTCTGGTTATAAAATATCTCCCATTCACCTGAAAGTTAAAGAAGGTAGGAGCAGGAAGGGTAATATAGACAACACGCCGTCTGTCAAAGATTAGTCGGTACTGGAGGGACTGGTCGTTCCTCTCAAGAAACTGGTAACACTCCATAGCATTATAATCTAGAAAAGCGGGTGGCAACTCAGTGTCATTCTCTCTTACAGATACACCAAGATAATCAGCTAAACGAGTTGTATAAATCCCACCAAATAGATCTCCATCTTTAGCATTAAGATGTAACCTCCTTGCAACAATGGCCCCCAAGTTATATGGCTTATCACCCAACACCACACTCTTGAGGACACTAAACTCTGGGATGCAAAGCTGGCTATGCTCATGCTTACCGTTAATGCATCTACCTATAAAGAGAGCAAAGTAATGTATGCCAGGAAAGTGAATGCTCCCTATGGTAGCTTGTGTGATATTTCTAGTTTCTCCCACAGTGATGCTAGCAAGAAAATCATTATATTCAGATTTGTTAGGCTCACTAAGAATGCCCCACTGTCGGATTTTGCAGGCAATACTAAAATCTTCAAGGTCCATGGTATATGATTGATCATAATGATCAAATATAACAGTATGAGTATTGCGCTTAGATGAAAATCCAAACCTCCGCACAAAGGAATCAGTGAGGTGATAGTATTGTCGGCACTTATCTGATACGAAGTCCTCAAGATCAACATTATGTACATACGCATCAAATTTATCCTTGAAGCCTGCATGGACCATAAATTCATCTAACGGCCATTCACAAGGCTGACCTTGAGCTTCCCTTGGTGGTTCAAGGTCCGACTCACGTATCGCGAGCCTCGGTGCTTGCTTCCTCGAAGAACCACCTTGGTACATTTTCCTAAATATTTTTCTTCCTCTGAAAATTTTAGTGACTCAAAATAAATGTGAACCGAACTCAACAAAATTGATAGTAACTACTTATACAAGTGCCTAGAGACTATATCATGCATCAAAACTACTTTGGACCATATAAATTTGACATGCAAGCTCAAGAATAGGGTCACCACAGCAGCAATCATTTGCAATAAATAAAGCACTAGCACAAAAACTAATTGGACCATTGGAGGAGTCACATACCGAAGAACAATCCCCAAAGCAGTTTTGTGAATGGAGCTTTGAGCAAGGAGATCGAAAATGGAAACAACATGAGCAAGAACACGGGTTTGAGCTACGGATGATTTTTTCTGGAGGAAGACGAAGTGGATGGGTGCTGGAATAAGTGGAGGGGACCCACGTGGGGCCCACAAGACAGGGGGCACGCCCAGGGTGATAGGGCGCGCCCTCCATCCTTGTGGCCAACTGGTGCATCCCCCTGGTGTGTTTTAGTGCCAGAAATTCTCAAATATTCTATAAAAAATCATACTAAATTTTCAGGGCATTTGAAGAACTTCTATTTTCTGGGTATTTTTTATTGCAAGGATAAATAAAAAAACAGACAAAAAATACTATTTTGCTTTATTTAATCTAAATAACAGGAAGTAAAAGGGGGTACAGAAAGTTGTGCCTTCTAAATTCATCCATCTCATGCTCATCAAAAGGAATCCATTAATAAGGTTGATCAAGTCTTATTAACAAACTTCTTCCGAGTGACATGAAACGGAGAACTTTCGAATAACACTAGGTTACCTCAACGGGGATATGCATGTCCCCAAAAATAAGAATATCATATTTCTTTTTGACTGTCGCCAGAGGGAATTCAAAACCTCCAATAGTAATAGTTGAAATTTTTCTGATAGAATTGATACTATGAACTTGAGGTTGTTTCTTCGGAAAGTGTACCGTATGCTCATTACCATCTATTTATATTAAAAAAGTACTTGAGGGGGTCACCAAAATAAAGATAATTAGTTTAAAAAATCCCACAATAATTAGAAACATCTAGCCATTAAACTGATGGGTCCATCTTTTAGTTAGTTAACCTTAATCGTCTGATGTATCAACTATATCCATTGATCCCTAAAAAAACTATCCATTGATACGAGGGGGTTACGATCCATCCGTCCATGATGCCAAGAGTCCTTCCTAAAAAACACATAGGTACAATGCAAAGCTCCAAAAAATGCATCAAATCCTTAATTAGGGTTACATGAGGAAGATTTCCTTCAGTTAGGCCATCCTTCCACCGCCTCCCCGCCCGACTCCCCTCACCATGAATTCCTCTCCTTAAAGCCTACTCCATTGGGCAGCCGCCGTCACGACATTAGTTCACCATGGCACCTCCCACCGCCATGAGATGGCGTAGCGGCCAGCCCAGAGTCAACATGTGGTGCTTCAACGGCGCATATATGAAGCGGCATTTGCGGCCTTGCGTGTGGCTGGATACAATTCATACAGAGATCCAAGAGAAAGGTGAAGGCCTTGCTTAGCCGGCGGCTTAATTAGTTTGGTTCAAAGGGCAAGAGCTAGCTCCCGTATCTAATGTATAGCTTGATTTTCCATAGGTAAGCACTATTCTATTTGATTATGTATGATTGGGACAAAGAATCAGTACACAGATTACATGAGAGTTTGCACACCCAAAATCATCCAGGATACTAGACTACGATTTCCAATTGACATGTTGCTCTTGAAACAATCAGCCAATGATCGATGCAAAAAGATCAATTCAGTTTGCATGTAGTTTGTGCGTGTGTGCACATGCGCCTTCACCTGACGCTAGGCATAGGCAATAGGCAATAGCCTCCGTCAAATGAATTGTGTGATTTGCATAGGTAAATGTCCAGGTGAACAACACGTCACCCTTCGTCAACAAACCACTAGCCAACACTGCGGAGACCATGCAGGACCTCCAGGGGTACTTCTTGAAGATCGCCGACATCATCGACAAGCACGCAGTTATAATGGTACGTACAACTTGTCATTGTCACCTACAATATTACCCAAACAAATCCAAACAATCATCAATAACGTACAGAGATTCAATCTCTCCAAACAGAATATCTCTCCAGACAGCATCCAAAACTCTTCCCATAGTGCACAAAAAAACCTCTCTTTCCGTCATGCAAACTGGTAAGTAGAACTTCGGAATTGTCTTCCTCTAGCGGGCACAAGCCGTCTCCGTCGAGCAATCAGACCACATCAAGTCAGTACCATCTGCACGAAATTACAGATTAGACCTAATGGATCAACAATAATTCAATTATACTCTAGGCAGTGCTCATCTAAAAAGATTTGACATGTTACCTCGGAAGGTTGCTTATGTAGAATTCCATAGGTGTGAGTTCCTGTCTTAATGGTGTCACGGTCAAACTTTTTACTTATCTAGAGAAGATTGATGCCATGTATGTTGCTTCCAATGTATTCACTTTAAGATAACATACTATAAAAGTCTATAATTATACTACAGCTATAACAGAAACAAATGGGATGCATGCTGCGATATAGAGAAACATATATGGTGCATCAGATGGTTTTCATATTATAAATCAGACCTTTTAATGGATCAATAATACTTCAATTATTTTGTAGGCAGTTCTAATCTAAAAAGATTTGACATGTTAGCTCACAAGGTTCATTATGTAGAAACAGAAGAAACTATGAAGAGTATTCGACATTAAATAATGCAATTCTATATGTGTGGATTCCTATCTTAATGGTTGCATGTTAATACTTTTACTCGTCTAGAGAAAGCTGATGCCATGGGTGTTGGTTCCAGTGTATCTACGCTAAGATAATATACTCTAGAAGACTAGAGCCATACTACAGCTATAACAGAAACAAATAGGATTGATTGCTGCAATATAGATAAACATATATAGATGGTTTTCATATTTGACCAACCTCATATTCGATAGTGGTCGTAATGCCACCGGCTCCATCTGAAACAAAAATTCAGACCAACTATCAATGAAATTGTATTTATTCATCTACTATGATTTCATATATCTTTTCCAGTTTAAAAAATCTTCAATTTTCTTTGTTGTCACATAATCACTTGAGACTTTGGGACGTAGTTAACTTATAGACTAATGCGATCCATGCATTAGATAAAAAAAAGTTCAAGTATTACATATATAATGTCTCTTCAGTTTTCCTTTTCCGAAGTTTGCTAACGTATTCTCTCTGTGTAGGGCAATGCGATCCATGCTTCTATTGGGAGAAAACTGGTCAATAAATTTAAAGCAAACATGAAAGGACTTCATCTACATAATTAAGACCTTCAAAGTCTAGGAGTACGAAAAATACAGACCATTGAAGAACAATCTCAAAATCAGTTTTCTTTTTGATACAACAGCGATTATCAAGATGCTATAGCAAGACGTCGGTGGGCTGAATACACAGACCTATTTGTGACAGTCACGTGCAACACAGCTTGGCCGGATATTCAACCTATGCTTATGGAAGTAGGCCAAACAACATCCGAAAGAGCTGATATTGTTGATTGAGTGTTCCACATAAAGCTCAAGGAGTTCACGAGGGACATGATATGGCAGAATGGATATAATCTGCTACTCCTAGAAGTATTGGAATTTGGAAACATGCATCAACATTTGATGGAAATAGATGAATAATACCAAATGTGACACTTTGAGTTATCTGATATTTGAAGCTTATTCTGTAGTACAAGCCAATAGTGACAGCATGTGCGTGCATCATTTTAGTTCATATGTAGGATGCACTCGCAACTATTTTCCTATTATTTTTATCTTTGGGAAATACTAAGACATGGCTAATCACGAATACACTAATTACTTACTAAATTTGTTGAATATGAATGGGGGCAGGGGGCCATACACAGATATACACCTTCCACTAACAAGAATTACCTTAATCCCATTATATTGGTTTACCCATACGCATGCAGAAAAAGGATAGGAAACAAGAAAAATATTGGAGAGGCAGGAAAAGAGAGAAGTGGGGCCTGCAGGTGGAAGAATGAGCTGCCGAAATCAGGCTGCCACTGTCGAGGATGAAGACGACCTGCCGAGCTTCCTAGCTCAGGGGAGACACGATGCGATGGAAGAAATCCGTCAGCATCCTCATAATCAAGGTGGATCCAAACTGGCTGCGGGAGACAAGATCCACACCAACATCGCCTGCACGGATGGCGATGGCACCGGCACCATGGAGATCGACGAGCTCGCCTCCTCCCCTGAGCAGCTTCTCCTTGGGCCCTGCTACCCCTCCGTCGCCGTTGACCGGTTTGAGAGATCGACGAGGCGTATAGGAGCCAAACCAGGCGCCGTAGACGGCTAATCCGTGGCCGCACCAGTGAGCCGAGATGCAGGTGTGCGTGCAAGTGGGTACGAGCAAGAAGACGACAGGGAAAAGAGAGGAAACTGAGTAGTTGTTGGGAATTAAATCCGCGGCAACAATTACCAGTGCTAACAGCCAGAGCTCATCCGGTGGATGTAGGAGCGGAAGGATAGAAGGAAATGGAAAGGGGATCAAGAAAGAGCAAGGTGTGAAGGGCGTTTCCTATTTGGCGCTGCAGGCGCCCTTTAATGTGCATTCTGCAAACGGGCGCCTGCAGCGCCCCGCGCTGGGCCGGCCCATCTAGTATTTTAGATATCGCAAAAAAATATGCTGCAACGGGGACTCGAACCCACAACCTAACAGAGACAGACTCTTCGTACTAACAACCAGGCTATGCTACAGTAGTTGAACTGTTGTACTCTTTTCCACTTCTTCTTTAGTTCCATTCGTTTTTTTCATTTTTCTTTTACTATTTTTCTTATCCTTTTTTGTTAATTCTTTTTGTTTTCTTCAATGCGCGCTTTTTTAAAATTTGTGAACCTTTCTTCTTACATTGGCAAAAAAAATCAAATTCGATGAACTTTTTCAAATCTGATAATTTTTATAAAACATCGATGAACTTATTTTCAAATTTGAAGAATTATTTTTCAAATCTGATGAACTTTTTAAAAAGTTGTTGAACTTTTTGGAAATTCGATGAACTATTTTTCAAATCCGATGAACTTTTTGAAAAGTTGATGAACTTTTTAAAAAGTTTTTGAACTTTTTCAAAACTCGATGAACTATTTTTCAAATCCGATGAACTTTTTTGAAAAGTTGATGAACTTTTTTGAAAAGGTGTTGAACTTTTTAAAAACTCCATGAACTATTTTTCAAATCCGATGAATTTTTTTGAAAAGTTGATGAACTTTTTTGAAATTCGATGAACGTTTTCAAATTTCGTTAACTCTTTTTCAAATTCGATGAACTTTTCAAATCCGTGAACCTTTTTCAAACTCATGGTCGTTTTTCATTGTTGTGAACTATTTTTTCAAATTTAGTGCACTTTTTTTCCATTTCATGAACTTTTTTTTTGAATTCGTGAACTTTTTTGAATATATGAACCGTTTTACATTGGCCAACTTTTTTATGCATGTTCGTCAACTTTCCAAAAAAATCATATTTTTTCATACATTCACGTTTTTTATTAATGTTTCCAAATAAGTCAAAATCTAACCAAGGGGCTGTACAATAAGTAGCGCTGCTACATTGTTCTTAAATGAACACACGCTTAAATGAATCACTAGCAGCCAACCACGAAGACGTGCGTTTGGGCGTGAGTTCGATTCTCAGGGATCCACCTTTTTGGATGCCTTTTCGCGTAATAATACAGTTTTTTTGTGCGTGCGCGTTTGTGGGCCGGCCCAGCAGGCGCTGCCGCAGGCGCCAGATGCCTTCAGCGGCGCTGAAGGCACCGAATAGGCGCTCCCGGTGTGAAGTGGCAGAGAAGAAGACGTGTGAAGTTGTGTACGTATGCGTGAGTCTGCTGGGCTAAAGCCCAACTAATCATCCACCTGAGTTTTTTTTACTTTCTTTAGAAACAAAACAAAATGCAAATTCCATTACATACAGTATACATACACTAATTGTAGAGTTCACGTATGTGTGCTGGCCCTAAATTATATTACCTCCTTTGGGAAGTACACGACTTGGTTTTAAAATTTTGAACTAAATTTAAACTAGAACCATCTCATGTATTTCCTAACCGAGGGAGTATAATTTCATATCAGTATTCGAAACCAATGAATGCAAGAATACACGATCCTAAAGAAACACCTCTACCCGGTACCAATCGTTTATATTTAGACTGCATATGGAACTATAATTTCATGTCAAACTGGCACATCTATGCGGCCGCATGATTTGGATCGAAGCACTCCAGAAGAATTTGACGAGAACGAGTTTGTGCTCGATATTGCCTAAAACATGAAAAGGAAATTCCTTTTATCATGAAACCACCAAGGATATGTATGGACGTAAAATAGTGTTTACTAGCACCACTTATGAACAACGGACAAAAACAACAAGTATTTACTTTCTTTTGTGTTACTAATTTTTTTTAAGTACTAGCCCATGCAAAATAAATATGTGTTTAAAAAATGCTAGAAAAATGATAAAAAAATAAATTGCCCAATGTGATTCATCATGAATACGACATGCATACTAAGCAGGTAAATGATAAGTGAATAATATAAATATTTATATGTCAACAGAAAAAATATGCCTAATTTTTTTCGCAAAAGTTTTATTGTATATGTCATCACATATGGTCCCAAATTTATAGAAAAATCAAATAATATATTCTCATTACTAAACTTACTAAAGATCTAGCCCCCGCATCGAGCGGGCCACTTTGCTAGTTAACATGAAAAGTGAAACTGACTTTGTTGCAATGAATAACAGCACCTTCAGTATTTAAAAAGGGTCTACCAAAGATGATCGACATACTGTCGTCCTCGGGAATATCAAGAATAACAAAGTCCGTTAAGATAGTAACGTTTGCAACCACAACAGGCACATCCTCAGAAATACCGATGGGTATAGCAGTTGATTTTTCAGCCATTTGCAAGGAGATTTCAGTAGGTGTCAACTTATTCAGAATCAAGTTTACAGTATAAAGAGAAAGTCATAACACTAACACCGGCTCCAAGATCACATAAAGCAATTTTAACATAGTTTATTTTAATGGAGCATGGTATAGTTTGTACTCCTCGATCTCCTAGTTTCTTTGGTATTCCACCCTTAAAGTTATAATTAGCAAGCATGGTGGAAATTTCAGCTTCTGGTATCTTTATTTTATTGGTGACAATATCTTTCATATGCTTAACATAAGGAGGCATTTTAAGCATATCAGTCAAACGCATACGCAAAAAGATAGGTCTAATCATTTCAGCAAAGCGCTCAAAATCCTCATCGTCCTTTTTCTTGGATGGCTTAGGAGGAAAAGACATGGGTTTCTGAACCCATGGTTCTCTTTCTTTATCGTGCTTCCTAGCAATGAAGTATCTCTTATCATAATGTTGATTATTTGATTGTGGATTATCAAGATCAACATCAGGCTCAATTTCTACATTATTATCATTACTAGGTTGAGCATCATCATGACCATCATCATTAACATTATCACTAGGTTCATGTTCATCACCAGATCGTGTCTTAGCATCAGAAATAGAAATATCATTTGGATTCTCAGGTGTGTCAGTAATAGGTTCACTAGAAGCATGCAAAGTACTATTAGTATTCTTTTTCTTTTTATTAGAAGGACTAGGTGCATCAGAATTAAGTTTTTGAGAATCTTGCTCAATTCTCTTAGGATGGCCCTCAGGATACAAAGGTTCCTGGGTCGTTTTACCACCTCTATTCATAACCCCAACAACATTATCATTATTCTTACTATTCAACTCATTGAGCAAATCATCTTGCGCCTTAAGTACATGTTCTACTTGAGTTGTAACCATGGAAGCATGTTTACTAATAAGCTTAAGATCACTTTTAACTCTAGACATATAATCACTCAAGTGTTCAACCATATAAGAATTATGTTCCAATTGTCTACCAACATAAGCATTGACGTTTTCTTGTTTAACAATGAAATTATCAAACTCATCCAAGCATTGACTAGCAGACTTATTATGAGGAATATCACCTTCATCAAATCTATAGAGAAAATTTACCTTTACTACCTGTGTCGGGTTATCAAGACCATGTATTTCTTCAATAGGTGGTAAATTCTTAACATCTTCAGGTTTAATACCTTTTTCTTTCATAGATTTCTTTGCCTCTTGCATATCTTCAGGACTGAGAAATAGAATACCCCTTTTCTTAAAAGTTGGCTTAGGAGTTGGTTTAGGAAGTGTCCAATCATTATCATTACTCAATATATTATTCAATAGCAATTCATCTTACTCAACGGTTCTTTCCTTGAAAACATAACCAACACAACTATCCAGGTGGTCTCTGGCAGCATCCACTGGTACAGCGAGGTGCTATACAAACGCTTTTTAACCCCTTTCCACGACGACATTTGCAACCGTCGCCATGTGAATGTGGGAGATAGGGGGTCCTTCCCACACGACCCAGAAACCGTCAGGAATATGCCCTCCTGGCACACACGCTCGGCAAAATGAGGTCGTGTACGACCGGCGAGCGAGCAAATATGGTTATACATATAGTAGTGCTAAAAAAATACAATTGTACAGGCGAAATCATTTCCGGTCGTAAGTACATCCCACACAATCAGTCCCTGCTAAACGTTTCTGTTCATATATACATCCCACAAAGTCACTGCAAGGAAAATGTTTTCGTTTGCAGCTACATCACACACAATTTTCCCCGTTAAATCGTTTGTGATAGCGTTGCCACCGCACACAATATTAACAATTTTAACTTTTGCGTTATTGAATGCATCACACATGGTGCATAGAAGAAACTATGTAGCAAAGGCTGTCCATCACACACAGTTTTTATGTGGTAAAACTTTGCGCAAGGTGGCCTAACGCAAATAGTTTTGAAGAGAATGTCGTATGTGATTGTTCATAGATCCAACACGGTTTATTCCTAGAAACTGTGTGTTGCCTTAGGTCATCGCCCATGGTATTTTCTACATTAACCGTTTGCAATAGCAGAAACCAATTAGCAGGCTAATTGCCTTATTATTAATAATCCATTTATTAATCTAATTCACATTCATATTAAACACATAATATATTTCATTCCCATATTAAGGAAGCAGGATTTCATAATTGAAATACATCAGACTACAACATGATATAGCTTCAGCACTCAGCCCCCATCACACAACTGCACCGGCACCAAGTTTCACATGCAACATCTAGAACCTTTCGAAATTAGCATCATAGACGGTACATAGATAGATGCATCTCGTCGGGAAAACTATTGAAGCGGAAGGCGAATATAGAGCCTTCATTGATGTTGAAGGTCTTTGCAACTTTAGGCCAGTG